CTAGATTTTCAGACAGAACAACATGCAGAAAACTACAATAATTTCATTGTTTATTTAAAATCTGTTTACCCTTTGTAATATTGTTATTTGTTCTTCAATAATCGTCTACGAACAAAAACTGATTTTTAATTGACTAGCAACTGGCTAAGATTCATCACAATTGTTTTAAGCTCACTCCCATACAAAATGTTTGCTGAAAACTTTTAAATATCAAGCAATTTCATTCTGACAATCTCTTATAGTTCTTTCTTGAAATACTCTATTTTGAGAAATACTTAATCCTTTTGTTTTTAACCAATATGAATTCGACCAATTTATACCTATATGTATATAATATTTTTAAAATATGTTTGTGTATAAAAGAAATACTGAAGTAATTGTGTACATCTTACCTGATTCAAATGTTTGCTGTTATCCAGTGCAGTATGATTGATTTCAACCTTGCCGTATTATTATTATTGTTATTGTGATGAAAAGACCTGTCTACTCTGTTAGTGTAACAATGTCAAAATTAATAACTCCCTATTGAGCATTTATTCGAAAATATACTCCTTAATTATTCGATTTTTTTTCTTCAGTTTACTTTATTCACTAATTTTAAAGTATTACATATGTACTTTTTTGTATGAGTTTAACTGCTTCATAAGAAAAACACCTTATTGTATCATCTGTATATCGAACTATTACGTTTAACTGATGAGTAATACAATTGTCTTCACCTTTCTACTTTTGGTTATTCCATAGTTAAAATGCAGTAGTTCACTTAGGAATGTATATAATTATTTTGATATGTCTAAGTATATTTTTATCATGCATAACAATCGGCTATCAAAATTCTTGTTTAATTTCAGTAACTATCAGTTTCATATGAATAAGTGATTAAAACGAACAAGTGATTTATTACATTCTTTTCCGACCATTTCCTGTTAACTTTTCTTTCGAACTCTATACTTCATTCCCCACCTCCACTTTTTAGTCACCACCTTTTTTATCTCCTTACTTTTCATGTTAGTAACTGTGTCATCATCATCATTAACAGTATTTTGATTTATGCATTTTCTTTTAAAATTCAATTTAAGTCAAAAGAAACTCATTAGTTTTTAAATTATAGGAATAACCATTAGTGATTTATGCATGAATAATTTTCCTCGTTCTCTCTCTGTATATATATGCAATTATTCTCATTATGCAATCTACACTCTTCAGTAAGTTCATTAATCATTATTTTCTTTAATATTTTAAACATTTTTATTTTGGAATTTTGTTTTATTTAATAAACAATTTATTAATTCAGTAAGATTTTCTTTTAGAAAATGTTTTTTTTAATATTTTCGTTGTTTTTTCTCTCAACCAGTTTCATCATGATTTATAAATGTTGATTAGTTCTGATGAAAAAATTTTCAAGTTAGTTGTATAATAGTAGATCTGGATAAATTTGTTGTTTAGTTATAAATCAGTTCACAATATTTACTTGATTTCGCAATTGATTTTATTGAAATTTCACATAAAATTTTCTATTTATGAATTTTAATAAAAAAAGGAATAAATATTCTAACGAACGTATTCCACAAAAATTGAAACTAAACGGACAGATGGAATTCAACAGTTAAATTGCTCGTCATTTTCTTGACAATGGGCATCATGTTGAAGTGAAATCTTTCAAAATCATCAATAAACAGAGGAATTTAAAAATGTTATCCTTTGTTCTTTTGTACTATTTAAATTTGGATTAATTTTGATTTGGTTATTCTCTAAAGAAGTGGTTTACACTGAGTTATGAAACGCTAGAAAATTTAATTTTTCTACTCTTTCGGATACTACAAATATATTATTTTTATTTATAACAATTTACACAATGGTCAATTAAATATTGTCAAAACTGTTGCGATAAAAGGATTTAAAACCGAATTTATGTATCCAGTTATAAATTTTCTTTTACCCTTGTGACCTTATTTTTGTAAGACTATTACGAAGACTTTTTATTGTTCCTTATACTGTAATCGAAATTTTTAACGTTTTTATTCTTACTTCTGGGCCTGACTAAACTAGCCTATAATAAATAATCTATCTTTTTCTTCAAGAGGAAAAGATTTTCTGTTTGTATGCTGTTCTAGAGCATACTCATATCTAACTTATAAATAAGAAACTTTTTAAACGATTTTAATTCTTCCGTAATAGGATTTGATAACATTATTCTGTCTCCACATTTCAACTCAGCTTATTCAAGGTGTTCCTCATATGACATATGTAGACTTAATTTGTTTTAATGCCTACAACTACGGTTTGAAGTTGTAATCCGCCGAGGAAAATCCACGAAATAAATGTTATTCTGCTACGATATTTGTTGTTTATTTATCATTCTTTTGACTTTAGCATTATTTGTTGCTCATAAAACATGTTTATAAATTAGAAGGTGAGTAGGTGATGTCAAACTCATTCTGTTACATGAATTTAATTAGTCATGACTATCTCCTCCTCCGTTGATTTGCATTGTTCCGTAGAATTCTTAGTTTGTATCATCAAGGCATATGTCTCAGCAAGCGAACAAAATGTTTCCATACCTTATCGGAATGACAAACTAGTTAAGTTTATTGTTTAGCATTAAAACAAACAATAATTCTTTGTTATCTATTTTAAAACCTAACTTATAATTCTGTTCTTTTGCTCAAAATCATTACATGATATTCAACAGACTGCTTTTTTCCCTTATATAGTTAAAAATGGATATTATAGCATACAAGATTATTATGTAATTGAGTTACGAAGTTTTAATGCCATTTTAGTTTTCTTAAACTTTTATGCAATAAAATGGATTACATTTACAACTAAGTGTGCATACATATGCCGAATATGTTTCGTTTTCAACACAATAAACTTATTGGTCATGTATTTTAACAATACTTACTAATTGTACTATTGATGTTTAGTTAACTATGTACATATCGCCTGTTGATTAGTGTTTCAACTTGCCCATCTTTATTTCTTCTAGTTATTTTATATTTATTAAAAACAAAGTATTTTAGGTGTTGGACATAAACCAACCATACCCTATTTCAATGCTGATATTTCTAACTGATACTTTTTATTTTTGACTTCACAATCAGTATTGAACTCGTTTATGATTACCTTTAAAAACATGAAAACATTTTAAGCTAAAATCGACTATCTTTATGCCTCTCATCTTATTACCTTTAATCTAGATTTTATCGCGTTTCTTTCATAGATTTTACTTTTTTGTGGCTTCTATACAATTTGTAAAGAATTACTATACTAATGATCGTATTTATTCATTTGATTTCTGAGGTCCATTGATATTATACTATTTGTTATTGAAATAAACCACTCGTTTTCATAATATCTACATTTTTTAAGAAAGTGAATTTTCGTCATTCATCTATATTTGTCTCTGGATAAGTTAAATTAATTTGTGTAATTTGATTCGATTTATCAGATTCTTTTAGTGTAAGATGCATATGAGTTTCATTTCAAGCCTTTGAACAATTAGACACTAGATAATATGCTTAAATATTATGTCATTATGTGGCAAAAACAAAACAACAAAACAAACAGTTCATCATGAATTTACATTCTATTACACAGGTTAAATTTAAACATATCAAAGTGTTTTAACAAACATAACAATGTTTACGTTGCATGTATCGTAGGAATTTTTAAAATTTATAATTCAAAAAAATAAGTCCAGCTAGTTGTTTTATTGTGATTATTTGTACTAAATCATGAAAATCGCATACATTTTCAATTCAGATAGCCTTATTTCAGATTTATGAAACATGGATGCAAACAGATATTCTCTCTAGGCAAAACATATTCTCACATCCATTGATTACAACTATTAAACATCATCTTATTTTAAATCAACTTGGTACTGTTTACTTCAATTTCCCCATTGGTGTTTAGGACTGCAATTGACCAGTCTCTTATTGGCACATGTGCACACTGTGCGTATTGTCTCGATATAGCCTTCATTCACGAGCATTATAAGCAAATATGGATAGTGGCTAGCAGCGCAATCCAGTTTGACGCACGTTTCATCCTATTTGGGACTCGTCAACTGGATGTACCTGCATTTCAGAGTTGATGTTCACTTTGGGACTCGAAACCGGCACCCTTCGCACTTGATCAATGGCAGTCCTAAACACCAGTGGGAAGATTCAAGTAAAAAAAATACCAAGTGAGTTTAAACCTCACTCCATTACACAAACAAGTGGCTATCAGGACTCAGTAGCTAGGTGGATGAATCTATGAAGTTTGAAGAGAACGGTACGGAGTTCGAGTACTAGAGTGATCACCAACTGTGAGATGCAGGTACATCCAACTGACGAGACTCAAATAAAGAGAAACTCCAAACCTGGTCTCCACTGCTAGCCACTATCGATCATCTTGTTTTATTGATACATTATTTTATTGTGTATAACTACAAAGTAAAAGTGTAAAATGGTAAAATCTATCTTGAAAAGGTATTAACTAGTAATTGTGATCCATGGACGATAAATTTACAAACAGCTCTGTCGTTCTCACTGTGAAGGAATATTTAAGTGACATTATCTTTTTTCTATAAAATTCTGTTACATCTGATTTTAATTACGTGTAAAAGAATACAATGCTTCGTATAGTTAAAATGAAACATGGTATAAAACAATTTCAATTTGATGGTTGTAAATTTGTTGGTTATATTTTTATTTACAGAGTGTATTCTTCAATACATATTTAGTTTGACTAGGAATCTGTTTAAAGCGGTAATGTTAATATTTACTTGAGAGTAATGAGTAGTTTTTACACTTTTTAAAAGAAGTTTTTCGATCAGTTTATGTTCAGTATCGTTCATGAAGTCTCTTTCTTAATTTAGCGTATAGCTTATTGTAGAAGAGATAAATTCTATTAAAAGATTTAGGTAAACATAGAAAAAAATAGAAGTGTACACACTTTCCTATATCTAGATAAACTGGTCATGCAATATATGCTTTTATTTTACTAAATAGGTTTCCAAAGAAACCGTCGATAGAAATGGGTCATACGGAAGAGCATAATAAACGTACATCTATGTCAAAAGAGTATTTAAACAATTCTACATTCAACCATAGTTTAACAAGAGCAAAACTACTGAGTAATTTACCGGAATTTCATTGTTCACGATTATCTCAACTGTACAATAGTGTAGGATATGAAAATTTGAAAAATGATAGATTCATGAAGACAGATGACAATTCACGCGATATTTTTCCAACTCTTCGTAATTTTTGTCAAAAACAAACTACTTCAAGTCATCCAGTTGGTCAGTGTACAATATCTTCAGCTGCAGTGCTTCGTCCTCCACGTCCACCCCAAAGAACCACTTCTTTAGCCAGTGATCACCAGCCTTCCAGAACAAGTGAAATTAATAGTACAGATACATCATGTTCTTCACGTAGTAGTCCATCTCGCAATGTAAACAGCTGTATGCAACATCCAAACAGTGAAGTATGTTTAAAATAGTTGATGTTTTCTTAGAATTACGTAATCACTTTTCTGATAGAGATTCAATACCCAATTCGCTTTAAAAAAATGTTTCTCATATTCTGTTATCCCATGTCTGGTCATTTGTGAAAAGCGATATTTTTTCACTAGACAATTTGAATAACGAATAGTTACTGTAAACCGCTATCAATTAAATTAACATTTCTTAACTAAAAATCTTAGAAACGTAAGAACGCTTAATTCTGAATTTTATACAAATAAAACTACTTATAAATATCTCTTTTACAAATAACTCCGTTAATCACTCATGGGCAGCGTGGTATCTGGTATGAATTTATCTCGGTTCAAGTTTTTCACATTGAGAGAGGGAGAGAGGAAATTAAAAAGTGTAAGAGGAAATAATATTCAACCCCATAGAAAGCTAAACATGACCAGTATACTTTAAAAGGAACTAACGTGACTGAAATTTCAGAACTACGGAATAAAAAACTCGAAACTTAGGTATATAATGAATGCATTTATGTTACTTTGAATGATTTTAGGTTGTATCACTCAACAACTTAAGTGACTTTTAAGGAAGTAATTTATTTCAAGATAACTTATTTTATTCAGAGTACATATTTATAAAGTCATCTTTGGTTAGTACGCTAACGTGAAGTACTTAAAACATGAATGTTAGAGGTTGGTTCTTATCTATCAGAATATAAGCATATTTCACTATAACCACATCAAGACCGTACCAAAATATAATATTGAATAAAGCCATTAATTAATAATTAATAATAAGTAAAAAAAAGACAATGCACAAGCAAGTGGTTGAATATATAGAAAATCCTACTTGCCCAAAAATCCCATAAATTCACAATTTACAAAATCTTAATGTGTATACAAAATGTTTCAGTGAAACTGCGGTGTGAAAGTGTGAATGTTGTGACGTGTGAGAACTGCAGATTAAAGTGAAGCGTTTTATCGATCGATTCAGTGGCACGTAAACACATAATGAACGACCTAGAGTTCCGATTGGTCCCGCTTCCCTATCTAGCCCAGCCAGTTGAGTCCAGAACACAAATCTCAGCCTCTGAGTTATGAATCGTTATATTTCAAACATACTCTGTTTATATACCAATCAAACAGACCACATCGTACCATAAAAATAGAAAACAACATCTGTACAATATTTAACGAGTGAAATAAATAATGGCCAATAGGAAATGTCCATTTAAAGTCCAAGGACATCATTATACCTAATCATGATAATGATTGGTATATTCCTCTGCATCCATAACAGTTAGCATGTATTTTCAACAATTGAAAACACTACTGAGTAATGCATACTTATTCTGCCATATTTCTATTGAATGTAACAGTTAGAAGTACTTTAAAAAAACTTATCTAACAAGTGATGGCTATAATGAATTGATTTTTTCAGTTTAACAACTGAATGTAAAGTATGAAGACTGAGTTTTCACCTAAATTCTTGCGATATCTTTGCTAATTCATCTTATTAAATAAACTAACCATTTTGTCTGTGAAATATTTCGCACACATTTTTTCTAGAAAGATGCTGTCATGAGTGTTTGGTGATAAAATGATAAAGATATACAAGTCCATTAGTCTACTCACTTTTATACAAATTCAAGGTAATTGTGTTATTCAGACCTTAACTGATTTACTGAACCTGTTATGTCAATGCTTGTTGAGTAACTTTATTTAAATATGCTCTCAATGACTTGAAAAAATCTCGAAATGATACATTCATTATCATAATGAATATTCTAATCAATAAATAAATTTGATATTTTAAGAAACTTTGCAGAAGTCAACACTGAAAAATGAAGCAGATTTTATTTAGTTTTCTTCTCTTTTTTTTTCTTTACAGATATGCTCCACTACAACTTGTGGATCATTTAATCCAAATCGATTTTCTCATTGTAAACCATTAGATAATAATGTGAATAATCATTTAACTGATAAATTAATTGATAAAGAAGTTAGTGACCTAAATTCTTCAGAGAATGATACAGTATGGTGGTCACATTTATTGCCTTATAAACCATCAAATCTACCTAGTAATTTAGCTGATCGTTTAAGGCAGAGAAATAGTTTAATTCTGTCAAGAAGTTCACCAACAACTCGATTATCTAATAGTTCGCTACCAAATTCTTTTCCATTTAACAATAATAATAAATCAAATAATAATAGTAATCTTCAAAATATAATGATACAATCAATGTATGAACAAAGTGATTCCGGTGATTATACTGGGTTGCGATCCGATGTAACATCTTTATATTGTGTACAAAATAAGCATGGTAATGATATACGATTAAGACAATCAAGACCTATAAGTGTGCATACAGATTATTCAAACTATACTAATAATTCATTCTTTCTACCGTCACTGAGACATTTTAATACAACAATTAATTCAAATACTGTAACTCATTCATCACCACTAGCCTCATCTTCGTCTTCAATATCATCGTTACAACAACAAGCACCAACACGGCCATCTAGTCTATCACTAGCCTCATCTTTTACAAATGTTATTCCTAAATTAAATAACCTGATTAAAACAAATAAGTTAAATAAAAAAACATTGAATTCATCAAAATCAATATCATCATCGATATCTTTATCTACTTCTACTCCTACTTCTACTACTATTACTACTAATAATTCACAATTATTATTTCAAAATAATATATGTAATATTATTCCAGATTATTTATTGAAATCATGTCCACCTAGTGATAGTCCATTACTTGGACAATACTGTCGTTTATTGTTACTTCGAACAAATGATGAACATGATAATAATGTTGCTACTGTTAATCATATAAATACTGTGGAGACAGATGATAATAATAATATTTCAACACTCAGTGAATATTCTGTGAAACTTACACCAACTGCTGAGACACCGGCTACGCCTGTTTAATACATACATATTACACATACAGCATATATATATATATATATATATATATATATATATATATATATATATATATATATATATATATATATATATATATATATATATACGCTTTTCTCATGTCTTTCAAGTAAAAGCATCGAAACTATTTATATTCATTTATGACAAATAGTTTTTATTTCGTAGCTTCTTCAAAAATCTAATAAAAGATCATCATAACCAGGTAGATAAATTTCTTTTGGTATATCTATATCAGATTTATACCATTTCTATAGTTTCTTTTCGTTTCGATCTTTTTTTATAAAAAAAATATGATTCTTTACAAATTTATCTACATTTTTTTTTTAAAAAAAAAACAACTTAAAATACTTAAAATAAAAAACACATAATTCCAAGAATATCAGTGTGTTTTACTGCTTATTAAACATTTTAAATCATTATTGATAAACAGTATAAAATAAAAGTGACCTTTTATTTCGAATGTCATTTCTTCCTGGATAATAAAACTTGTGAAGAAAAATTATAATTAATTATCTATTCAAGTAAGTACCCTGAATTTCGTTAGAATAATAATAATAAGGAGAAGAAGAATGGTGGTAGTAGTTCTTCACTCAAGCATTCATCAATTATTTTTTATTTATTAAGTTTTGAATAGAATGTTGTTGGTTTTGTTTGATTTCATTTTCCAATATTGTTTTCAACATCATTTATTATTTATTTCGTAATATTGTATATAATTAGATATGTAATACATCTATGTAAATACTCTCTATATATCCATCTAATTCATGATCAGGTATTTATTTCACTGGTTCAATAAAAAAATTCACTTTCGTTATTTCATTATTTCTCAATATTATTTCTATAATATAAGGAATCCTTACAGCTTTTTTTAAAATGTAAACTTTAATTTACTAACTGAATCCAAAAAAAGTGAACAAAGATTTCGAATATTATTTTATTTCATTATATTTATGATAATAATTGTTGTAAACATTAGTAAATGGAATCATGGATAGGTCATTTTCCCTTGATCTTTATCACTATTTCGTAAATAAATGCACACAAACAATATCTAGTCTTTATATTCATATAATAAACTTACATGTATATATAAAGATATGTACTATAAGAAATAAAATTTAACAAACATTTAAATCCACATGAATGATTATAAGTTATTAGAACAACATTTTAGTAAAATATTCTATTGAAATTGATTATGAGTAATTTTAGTTACGTTGAAGTTTGTTTAGAGGTTTCAACCTCAAATTGGAAAAGCTTGATATATCCTAAAGATACATTTTATGGAATGTACTTCTGTATTTTGTTACTACTTAGGTTAATTTTGGGCGGGAAAAATTACATCGATTCTGATGAAATAGCATAACTAGGATGACTAGGTTGAGTACATGCACAGGTTTTACACCGTAACTTATGCTTTTTTAACACATCTGTGAATGCCTTCGAAAGTCAACATTTAGTTGCACAATCGATCTGGTAATAGATCTCAATACTGTTTTGGGACAGCATACGTTTTAAAACCATAGTATGCCGTAATGATGTTCTCGTCTACTATGTAGATTTAGAGTGCACAATGGATCAAAAGTTACGAAAGTTACTGCAAGCAACTTTCTGCAATAATATAATGATCACGTAAGTGGAAATACGAGTCAAAATGCCGACGTTATTCTGCAAATAAGTAAATTGGGGAAGAGTTCATTACACGAAATAAGCTATTAAGATCGATGTAATGCAAATGCCAAAACTGGAAAACGATGACATCAATTAATTTGGCAATCTCAAAAGGGGCGTTTTTTGTTATGAATTCCAGGCCACAGTCACCTTTTCATGAGTTCTCCATCATTGTTATAAGGTGATTTTCATCATATTGTTGAGAGGTCGTGAAAAACTGCATGAGTGCAGTGCTGAAAATTAGTAATCAAGTAACAACCTAGTATTGCTCGATGAAAAAGGCTGTCATTACTTTGATAGATGTTCACAATCACACCCGGCTAATCAGTGTAAGGCAAGCGGAGTGCACTTTGACAAAACACAGCTCAACCAGGTGCAAGTGGGCCTTTTATAGTCTTTCAATGTAGATAATATTTCTTCCGCGGTGAAGTCAGTCGTAAGGAATCCTAAGAAGTCAACTTCAGGCACCGTCATTTGTAAAATGTGGATAACTGAACAGGTTTATAGACCAAATGAAGTTAGGTCAAAATAAGCTCGACTAAACCCATTGTAATTGCTCTGTCGAGTTAAACAACTGCTTGAGTTAGTCTCCTGTCCACACAGTGTAACTCCAAACTGTTAACAAAAACACTTTACAAAGTCCTCTACACTTTGAGAAGAGAGAGTTAGTGCCTTTTCTAGCTTTGATACAATAGAGTACGTTAGCCACTACGGCCGTGATGTAATGACACTGGTTCCTATTAATGAGGTAAGTTATTGTTACACTTCTTTTCCAACTACTTCTGTAGTGACCTACTTTTATCAAGAGAACGCGATTGGTGTAATAGAAACAATTATTATTATAACCGATTGTACCAGTGATTGTTCGTTGATTGTGACCTTGCTCGAATTCGGTTACGCTCAGTAATCACACTTGTAACCTGGCACGATCTCGGTATTCTTTCGATACCACGAGATCGCCAACAAATACATTTCGACTACAGCCATCAACTGCCTTCTGATATTCGTTCTATGGGGGATCTTATCGGTTAACTGGCACATAGATTTCCTGTAGTGGTGATCATAGTCAACCGCAACTCGACGCCACACTACACTTCAAAAACACGGCCTCCATGGCAACATCCCGAAATTTTAGATCAGAACCGACTTCCTGGATTTTCTAGGACACACTGTTGATGCGCAAGGTATTCAGCATATGCAATGAACATTGGTTCTGATAGGACCGAGGTGTAGTGGTATTGATTCCTAACCACACGATACTTAAAGCCAAACATACAGTAACTGAGAAGAGTTGCACCCAAAATTCCACACTTAGAGGAGGTCAAAAATGGTGAACGAGGCGATAGTTGCATGGCTTGGTCATATAGGCTCGGTTACTACTCAACGTATTCTTTTTTACGTTAAATATATATGGTATTTTATTTCCAGAACAAATGTGTTCTCCGGAAATTCTAGACGTCATATTACCGATTTTCATGATAAGACGAGTCAGTGATGTGACTTCCAGGAAGGACCATATAGATTGGATAGTCACATCATGACAAATCTACTATTTAAGATTAAGTCTATTATTTTAGCAGCCAAGGTAAGGTTTCTAATATGGAAATAGACCATGATTATGCATCCTTACTTTAAACACTCAGAAACGTCAGACTGAAACGGACTCTCTTGAGTTTCTTGGGAACACTACTGACTTTCAAGGTATTCGCCTTTCATAAAATAGAGACATCGATTCTGGATTATCTAGAACCGACCAGTCAAGGAAACACGTACTTTCAACGACCTGGTCAGTTTTATTGACGGCTCATGCCTACTTGAAAATCCTTTGTGAGACTGACAACAGTCCAATTTCGTGGAAATGTGAATATTATCAACTTCGTCGAAAACGCAAAAAAAATTCTACGCAGGTAAGAACTTATCGCAAAAGCAACTATGCTCAAATACTGAGATGTCAAAGCATCCATTGCTGGTGACATAGACGCATTCAACTCGGCAATCAGAGGAGTCTTACAACAATGGATGGACAACATCTAGCAACCTTCGGCCTTCCTCCAGAGGCGGTTACAAGACACTGTATCGAGGTATATCAATTTCGGCAGGAAAATCTCAGTCCTGTATTGTGTTATACGGCAAATAAAACACTTCGTGGAAGGCCAAGTATTCACTCAGTTTACTGAACACAGACTTTTCACCTGTCTAAGCTAGTTTTCAGGCAATTACTCTTCCCGATAGTCCTGCAAACTGGAATCGATCTTCATTAACTCACCTGCCTTCAAAAAGAAGGCAATGACTTCCTGCACGAGTTGTCTTCGATTAATCTGAAGTCACGGATCAAAGATAGAGATAGATAGGGAAACCTTACTATGTAACACGTATACAGGTGCAGATTGGCCGATCGTACCGAAACTTTGTCGACGCAGTACATTGTACAAACTTTCTCATTCAAGTGTTAAAGCAACCATCGAGTCTATCACAGAGCAATTATGTTGGCCTGGTATGAATAAAGGCGCAAGAAAGTGTGCACGCACCCGTGAAAGCTGCCAGAAATCTAAGGTGATTAAACACAACTGATTCCCTTAAGTTCTTTCACAACTCTCAACGCTCGTTTCAACCATGTACATATGGATTTGGTAGGAACCTTACTCGACTCAAATAGACACTCACCTCTTGATGTGTATGGAACATTTCACACGATTGTCAGGAGCAGTACCTATTACGAACGCCACTTGTAACACAGTAGCTCATGTCTTCGTCAAACGATAGGAAGCAAACTTCCGCTGCCCTTCAACAATCATTACAGACCGTGGAAGCTAGTTCGTGTCTGGACTCCTCCATTGTCTTACTACATTACTAAGAATTACGTGATTCCTGACGATGGCCTAGCATACACACGCAAATGGGTTGGTAGAAAGATTTCATAGGTGAAAGCTAAAATCTTAGCGGTTAACGTATCACAATGTACTGACGATTTTCCACTCATGATACTCAGTATTCGCAGTGCAGTGGAAGCTGACGTTGAATACGCTGCAGAACAATTCGTTTATGGGACAACAGTTAGACTTACAGATTAATTTGTGGATCCTTCATCTTCTTCGATGAATATGGATCTAAAACCTCACATGAGCAGGCTTACAAACACGATGCGTTCAGTTTAACCTGCTTACAGTCAACCACAGGCAATTACTGTTTTCATTCAGCAGGCCTTGCAACATAGTACACACGTTTTTGTATGTGGTAATTCAATACGATGGCCTCTCGAAACGGCATACGAAGGGCTCTTCGGAGTCCTTCATTGCGAACCTCAGTAC